AAAAAAAAAAGAATTTTCTCAGGATTTTATTTATTTATTTGTTTGTTTGTTTATTTATTTTTGGTGCCAGGGATACTGTACCACTGAGCCACATCACATCTCTATCCCTTTTTATTTTTAGACAGGATCTTACTAAGTTGCTTGGGGCCTTGCTAAATTGTTGAGGCTGGTCTCAAACTTGCAATCCTCCTGCCTTCAACCTCCCAAGACACTGAGATTACAGGCGTATGCCACCCTGCCCAGCTTAGGATCTTGATATAAATGACAATTCTAACTTATTTGCTAACCTATATACTTAAGATTTGTATATTTTACTGTATGTAATTTATGCCTTAATAAAGACAAATCTAAAAATCAAAAGTAAATTCCTTTGAATTGTGCCTGATGTTACACTGTACACCTGGAATCCCTGCTACTCAGGAGGCTGGGCAGAAAGATCATTAGTGTGAGACCAGCCTAAGCAATTTAGTGATACCTTGTCTCAAAATGAAATTGGGAAGGTGTGGGGATATAGTGCAATGGTAGAGGCAAGCACAAGGCAAGCACAAGCCCTGGGTTCAATCCCCAGTACTGGGTAGGGGAGGGGAAGAGCTAAACTGAATTGTTAAAAGTCTGAAGACCAACTCAGTGCTACAGAAACATATTTTCAAGGATTTTTAAAACATCTCATTAAGAGGGCAAGATATCATACACCTGTAATCCCAGTGATTTGGGAGGCTGAGGTGGGAGGATTGAAAGTTCAAGGCTAACCTCAGCAACTCAATGAGACCCTGTCTAAAAAAAAAGTGGGGAGCTAAGGACATGACTCAGTGGGAAAGTGCCCTTGGATTCAATCCCCAGAACCCCCCCACCAAAAAATTTTTTTTCCATTAAGGATACAACTAACTTAAATTAGCACATCAAGGAAACCACTTGTAGAAGTTTTATTTTTCTTTCTTAAAAAGACAGGAAGGGGCTGGGGTTGTGGCTCAGCTGTAGAGCGCTTGACTAKTAAGTGCGAGGCCCTGGGTTCTATCCTTAGCACCACATAAAAATAAAAAAAMMAAAWWAARGKWWT